AAATAATAATGGAAACAAAAAATGTGAAAACAAACAACACAATGGGTTTACACAGAGAATAAATTTATTTTTTTTTTCTGTAAAGAAAAATAATGGCAGAACGACAAAATATATATTTTGCTTTGCCAACACACAGCCGTACAGCATGCCAAAATGCAGTGGCAGTTTTATGAATACTGCATAAATTAAATACACACAAATATGTGTAAAAAAAAAACAAAAAACAACTCAAGTGTGATACAACTGTTGAAACTCAAACACAGACGGTGTTGAAACAAAAATGAAAAATAAAATAAAATAAACCAAAAACTTGTAAACAGAGGAATAGGAAATAACAAACACAAATGCAAATCAATGGTAAAAATAAAAGTTACATTTGGAACAACAACAATGTTGGTCACATCTGAACTTCCCACCAGCAAGTGCGCTGCTATTTGTTCCCTGGATAGAATTTCACATATTTACTTATAAATGACTCGATATAACGGGGTGCTTTGTTCTTCCTGTTTGGCTTCAAAACCATCACGCTGCTCACACCAACGAATAGGCAGAACACACACAGGTTTGATTAAAGGATAGTTCAAGTTTCAGTTAATTGTATGAGACTTCAGTGTGACACAGAACTGCATGCTGTGCTGAGGACTAACCTGTAAATGTGAACTTCATATTAGGCAGCATTTCCTGAGTGGAAAATCGAAAGTCCTGGAACAGACTGTTAACTAAAGTCAAAAGTCTGAAGTTATAGTTGATTGAAGGATATAGGGTATATGCATATATAATCAACTACATTTGTTGGTCAGTGCCAGAATTCTTCTGGACAGACACTTCAGGGGCCAGACACTTAAATAAAAATCACATTTTTGTCTAACATTGTGATTTGATATTTATTTTTGGAATCCAGTTGCGGGCCATATTGGACCATCTGGCAAGCCAGATGTGGCCCACTGGCCACCATTTGATATTTATTGGTATACTGGTATGCTTGCTAGCTATCTGATTTTTTGTTTTCTGACAACTTTTGTTCAGCTGTACCAAAGTCCATAGAGAAAAACTATGTTTTTAGCTCTAGGGGTAACAACAACACACACATATATATATATTTATATATATATATAAATATATATATATATATAGATATATATATATATATATATTTATATATATATATAAAAAATATATATATATAAATATATATATATATATAGATATATATATATATATATTACAAATGCTGTAGAAATATAGTGTAAACATGGTGTAAAAAGAAACTGAATCCCTTTCTCCACTACCTCATACAACTAACCTTCAAAAAAAAAAAAAAAATTGAACTACACCTTTTAAGATTTTGGTAATGAGCTGTAATGGATTAACTGTAGAAAGACAAATCACCACACAGGATATATCAGCAGATCATAAATAGTTATCATTGCTTCCTCTGGTAATCTGTTCCCACAATATTTGGTATCACTTTAAGATTGTCTTGGAGAAAGTGCAAATTAATATATATGTGTGTGTCCGCAACAAATGGATATATTTTCTATTACATTCAGTAGTTTCAAACTTTGGACGATTCTAATGATTGCATATCTGAAAAAGATTGTCTATGGCTTCACGCGAGCTCCGTTACGGCTCAAATGTTAAATAACAGTTCATCACACGACACCCTTATGCTC